CAGATCCTATTTCGTTTCGTTTTTATAGTTCAAAATTTCGTTTTACTTGTCTTTACTACACTAGGGTTGGTTGGTTGGTTGGTTTCTGGGGTTTTACGTCCACTTCCACCTAAAGTGATATCGTAGACAACTACACTAGGGTCTGGAAGAGTTGTTATATTACCGGCGTTTTGGTTGAAGTAAGGGGTTAGCCAATGGAACGGTCTGTTATGGCGAGGTTCTTGGCGTGCCATGCACGGAACTGCGGGCAAACCATTAGACACTTCAACCTTGATTGCTTAATCAATACCTGGCGTCATAGGGTCAAAAGCCACTCGTACGACCCCTGACACGACCTTCGACTACGACTGGCCAGATCTCCATGTAGTGTAGGCCATCGAAAGTATAAAAAACGAAGCAAAATATAGATCTGTATATTAATCAGATTGTGTAGTATTATACTTGCCTATTTCGGAGGAAATAACAATCCATGACTTTTTCCTCTTGTGAGTAAGAGAACCTAAATTGAATTTCAAGATATAAGTGTATGTATAAAAATGTCTCCCAAAAGCATCCTATTTAAATTGCATGCATTTCTTATGGGAAACTGTTTGAATAAAACATGAATCTCTGTCTCAATAATACATATATTTGAGATAAAAACGCCAAATCAAAAATGCCAATAACCTGTAGAAATGTGTAGGATTCTTAGGTTATAATCTGATTTTGACCACTGTTGAATAATTCAAACTATATAATCGAAGTCTCTTTAGCTTTTTACAATTGAATATAAGAACAAGACGTGTTGGTTCTTTTCTATTCTGTATTTTCAAGAGGCTAATATATAATGCACATTGGGGCCCCATAACTCATTTCATCCATGTTGCCATACTGACGAACAGTTTTTACTACACGTATTTCATTTTATATCGAATGTTTCTATATTAAAAGAGAAAGAGTGGGTTGATTTCAGAGATTAATAATCTATATATCAGCTATCGGTTTCCAATTAATAAAGTACATGTATAGCCTTAGGCCTTTATTACTGTCAAACACTTGCATTGTGGAATAATATTTCCTCCCAACATAAACACAGCCATGTTTTTATCTTGTAACTGCGTGTATAATAGCCCCTTGTTGTTAAAGACAAAATAGTAAAGCCAGTTTATACCCTATCCATCTGATTAAAATCAAATATCAAATAAAGACTATTAATGTATCCTGCGTATATGTAAGCTCTTTCAATTTTATAGTTCGATTTTGTATATGATATATAGAGAATCTCCTACTCGTCTTTTTTGATATCCAAAAATATCAACAGAAGTCGATAAAGTAAAAAGAAATGAGGCTCTGCCGAGGTTTTTTCTACTTTATCGACGAGTGTTGATATTTTTGGATATCAAAAAAGACGAGTAGGAGATTTTATTTGTCACCCAATCCTTTCTTACATGCGCAAAAAATAATTATAATTCTTTGCTTTTACTGAACCTGATTACATTATGCCCTAGTGATACATCATTTTTTATGACAGTAATTCAACCATTGCAAAGTCCTTTACATTGACAAGAGTGTTTCCATAAAGATCAATTAAAGATACGTTATGGGAGATAAGATAAAGAGATGGCAGTTCTCGCTATAATAGTTAAAAACTAAATAGTGTAAAGGTAATTTGCTGAAAATTTCAGTCAAATTGATCCACTATGAGCCGAGAACGAAGCGGGTGAAATTTTCGCATAGTCTCGGTCATCATTACTACAATCATTAATATAAACAGCATAGTCTCGATTATCCACTGTTTTGATTTAATTATCAATGGCCGTTAAGCGGCATATAGGAATCTAATCCAGCCAACATCGAAGGCTAGCCTTGACATCGAGAGTTTATTATGGTCTGGATAAGTTAATTAATGTCGAATTGATAATTTAGATAACATTTCAGGCCTAAAGAAAGACTTGTAATAAGCAGATTTTGCTCTTGCATAATACATGTTTAAATAAAAATAGCTCATTTTTAATAAAAAAAAAAGAAGTTACTTTTAATAAAAAAAAATGAACTGTTCCTTGAAAATAAAAAATAGTTCCTTTTTAACTGACCAGTCAAATTCATGTAAAGCGATACCACACAAGACTGATAATTGGAATCTATATTTCAGACAGTAACCAACACATGCTAGGCTCTTTTATGGTTCATTAGCATTAAAATATCTTAATTTAAAATGGTGTTGAGGGCCAAAGCGGGGGGTCAAAGGTAATAAGATTAAAGACAATGATTGTTTAACACTCAGTGGTGAAATGGAGCATGACAAAACTGGAAAGCTTCAACTATTTCGTCATCAATTAAACCTCTCTAATATCCTCAATGATCCTTCTCAAATCTTTAGGTCTTTACACTCATTTAGTTTTGGGATGCCGCTAGCAGTTTGTGAGTCTTTAAGAGATCAGTTGCCGAAAATATTTGTGGGTTAATGATATTGGTCTCAACATCTTATTGTGGCTATATATGACGTAAGAAGTAGATTGTTGGTGACTTTATTAACAATTTTAGAGCTCTATATAAACACCTTTATCTAATAAATATGAAGTAAATTGACAATAAGAAGTCTGGGTTAAACAGAATAAAACAATCTTATAATCAGTTCAAGAGGAAAATTCAACAGGACGCAGACATCTATTGTAACTTACATCGCATATCAATGTTATAGGTCACATATTATAGCATCGCCAAAATGTCACTATATAGTGTGGACTTTAAAAATTTTTAGATAAGGTAAAACACCAAAAATGTCCAGATGAAACAATAAATAAAATGAATTGAGCATCATGTGTCCGTTCATGTCTAAGATTGCCTTTTACCAGGGCAGCTGTGAGAATCTTTTACTTTTAAACAGAGGGCATGGCAAGGGACAACGCACATTCTTTCGGATATGACGAAAAACCGAGGTCTCGTGTGCACATTGGCGTACAAGTAAAAGATCCCTGGTAGGCTAGTTGGAATTCGATATAAAAGTAGGTCTCAGCCCCGCTGTCGGGCAAAATTTCCCTCATATCACACTGTATGGCATATGCTCGTCTTCATTAGTCCAATCGGAGCAGAACATTGTTGCAGAACATTGTTTAATGTGAGGTACACCAATACATTGCAATATTGGAATGTACATTGAATAGATTGATCTAAAATTAAGAAATGAAATGAAATGGGGTTTGACGTCCTACTGTGCTACTCCTATACTGGGCTAATGAAGACGGGCATACACCATACAGTGTGCTATGAGGGAAATTTTGCCCGGGCAGCGGCACTATCGTCTACTCTTATATCGAATTCCAACTGCCAAGGGATCTTTTACGTGCATTCCAATGTATACACGGGACCTCGGTTTTTCGTCTCATCCGAAGGACTAGACAGCTGTCCTTGTCAGGCCCTCCGTTCTGCACCACTGACAAGGGGAAACCACGTCGGAAAATCCAGATGAACTTTCTCGGCCAATGCAGGGATCGAACACCCGACCTCTAGACTAGCGAGCCAGCGTCTTAACCACCTAGCCACCGTGGCTCCCGATTTAAAAATAAGGCAATGGAACAAACTATGCTAAACATGTATGAGCGTACTACATGGAACAGGAACCGAGGAGGGCGTCATCGCACAACGTCGTCCCCAAGATGAAGATGAACAGCAACAATTTAAGAAAGACAACAAGATGTTTTGCGATTAAGGCCCAAAAATATATAATTAGTGGTCTGTGAGTACATATGATATCGTACCACTTAAAATATTCCCAATTATTTTACGTACGGCGTACATGTCAAAATAAATCTTCAATGCGGTGAATTAATCCCCACTTTGTAGCAATTATCGCTTATACACAATCTATGTATACACGTCTCCCATTAAGATGTCAGTTAAATCATCAACACTTTCTTTGATTGATTTCTCTCGTACGTTAATCTGTCTGTTTGATTAAGATTGACAGGTATCATAGTTATACATTAAAAACACAGACACAATCTTGTTAAACATTGTATCACCTATTTAATCTTAAATTTATTGTTTAATGTTGAGGATCCAATAAGGTGTCCACCCTACGGGGCAGAAATTAAAAATAATCTATCCATTACAAAACTAACAACGTTGAAGATTGAAGATATAATCAGGTGTATAATAACAATGATTCTAATTTACAAAGATTTGTCGATGTGTCTGTAATTAATTATGTATCTAAAAATTGACATTTACACCAGAATTGGTTATAAATCATCCATGGGAGTATTATATCAAATTTAATAAAAAGCTGTACCATTTTAAATAACTGTCCAGGAATTAATTCATAGTTTAGATGTTAATAAGCAATACTTGTACGAAAATGTTGATTAATAAAAAAAACCCAAACAGGTTCCATACAATGTTTTATAGGTCTACTATTTTTCTTTCATATTTTAAATGTTTATATTCTCGCTTCGTGCATATCGGATAAGTATGTCAAAGTATTCTCTATATGGTATATTATTGCAGTGGGAGCCGAATATAATAGTGGGACGCTCGGCAAGAAATATAGAATAATGCAAAACCATAATATTCATGTTCCATGGCTATATTTTATATGAATTATATCTGACATGAAGTAAGTGCATGAGATACGAGGCAGGCAATATCATTTATATCACGGGGTCCCCCTGCAATTACTATTAACTATAACCGATCTTGTTCTTCGCAGAAATTTTTTTGACAGTCCCGTTATTTGTATAGCGGGCAAATAATTCGATCTGCATTTAATATAACAGTTTCTTTAATCGTCGAAGAAATAAATAATTATTCCTGTCGATATATTTATAAATTGTGTTAATTCCTTCTTCTTCTCTTGGAGTCTTACGTCCACTTCCACCTAAGGTGATATCGTAGACAAATTGTGTTAATAATAAACACATGGCTTTATTTATATCTGGAGATCACATGACAGACCATTACGCCCTCTAGCGATTGTTTACCATATGCAAATGAGACCTCCTCCATATATGGCGAATGACCCTCCGACCTCGTTTTGGTACTGAGAGTCTGCCATCGATCAATGGCGTGCATGTCTAGAGAGTAACGGTGAAGGTGTCGGACTAAGTTTTTGTGTTTTTATTCGGATTTCTACTTTGAAAAGTGCATCTATGTGGCTTGTAAGGAAATATAGGACTTATTGGTCGGAGGGAAAGTGAGTTTTTCCAATATGGAAGTTGGATTAGTGAGAAAAAAGAAGCGAAACGGACTGTACCTTGTCCAATGTTTGTGGCTTCTCGGGGTATTTGCTCATACTGCTAGAGGTAAGTTTTTATAGTTTTGAAGTCACTGTTTACTTGATTATACAAAGTGTAAAAATACTAACAACACAACAACATAACCCCTACTATTTAAACCTAGTTTTATCATCTTTTTACGTCTCTTTCACACACGTCCTAACATACCGAACAAAGTTGATGTCTTAGTCGTTTGAAGCGCTGATATTTTCCGTCCCATTGTTCAAATCGCGGTCAGCTAGGTTTCAACTAAGACATGAAAACGGGGAACGTCTTGGGGGGTAGGACATGTCATATATCGGCTTGTCGACACATGGAGAATGAAAATTACTGATATATTGTAGATCATTTTAAACCTTGATAACGCAAATGTTTGCCCAAATATTGTTTATGAATTACTGTTATCTCAGTTTTCAATCGAACCGATAAAAAAAAGACCGCAAAATGCAGCATGATGTCATGTACCGTTATGATCGAATAGTTTTATTTTTTCTTTAACTTTTAAAATCACAATTTTACTCAGAAAGCGCACAGCGGATTACTTACACCGAATCGGCAATAGCCTATTGTAGATTAGTATGGTTTACATGCAATTTATTTCATATTTGCCTGGAGTGGAAATATGACAAAATACTTCATATAAAAAACAACAAAAAACACGTTATAATATGGCTTTATGTTATGAAGCCTAACGCTTTATTCTTTATTTTATGTTAATGAATTTGATGTTGAACATAAAAAATATGTATTGTGCTAACACTAGTAACAGAATTAAATTACAAAATCTTTTTTAATGATGAGTTATTAATATCAGTATTTTATTACTGATATTGTATAATTTGACAATGGGTGCATCTACAAAGTGTATTCCCTTAGGTATATATGTATATCCCCAATACCTTCAATACACAAGATTGTATATCACTCTATAGTTAGAAATACACCCTTAAACCATGTACAATATACATGTATTATGCATCAATATACATAACTAGTGGGTATTACTTTATTATATTAATGAACTTACATCATACTAAATGACTTGTCTGCGATATCACTTATGTGGAAGCAGACGTTAAACACCAAGAACTACTACTACATACTAAATGATAACGTTGAGAGAATACTCTACGAAACGTCGCCTTAAATACACTAGTAGCTGTTTTCCATAAGTATGTGTTTTGTTACTCTATCCAGTTACTAAATGCCATTTAAAGAACATATCCGACATCAATATGGAGATGTGGCAGTATCCTATATCAATACAGTTAATAGATTAGGAGGTAAATATGTTAAGTCCAAGTGCAATCTTACTTTTCTGATGCGATGCAGAGACAGCAACATCATCCCCAAAGGTCTGCGTCTCAAGCCCCCGGAAGTGTTGGTGTAGGCCTTTGATCATGTTGTTGCTATGTATGGTTTCGGTTATGTTGTTGTATTTTGTCTATATATATTTGCCTCATACCTGTTTTACTGTATTAGCTTGATAACGTTGAGAGAATACTCTACGAAACGTCGCCTTAAATACACTAGTAGCTGTTTTCCATAAGTATGTGTTTTGTTGTTACTCTATCCAGTTACTAAATGCCATTTAAAGAACATACTAAATGATGTTTATACACCTTGTTATACATTGTGCTAATTTGATCATAGATAATACAGTAATAATGCACATCAAATTAGACATACAAAGTCTATTTCAAAATTTCTAATACAATGCAGCAAAACGGATCAAGTAACAGTGTACATGAATACAAGTCAGAGATACTGATGTGGATGGAAAATGAATATTGGTTTGATTAAAGTTGATGCGTTTTTTGCCAGATGGATAAAATATGTATCTTTTAAAATTTACACTGGTATAAGGTTGGGTCAAAATGTTGAGATATGATATTAATAAATTAGATAGTTTATATAAAGAACTCCAGCTACTTTTTCGCTAAGACTTCCAGAAATGAATTTATCTAGATTATGCAAATAGAAGGTTTAGGCATATGACCAGTAATATTCATTAGTAATAATATTAGACTGTTTCTGAAAATACCCTTTTTACTCAAAAACATTTGTCTACCCAACATTGTATTTGCATTGACTGAACACAAGGCTAAAGTCAACATCAGAGTATTGGAGAAAATATTTGCAGCTTATGCCAGTCAGCTCTTGCTTACATGTTCTCGGGTCAGTTTACATTTTCTTGTTCAAATGAGAATAACAGAAACTAGCCTTGTTCTTTTCAAGATTTTCTTTGCAAAACAATTCAGCAGTTGTTAAAAGTTTTAGACTTTTAAATCTTATTTTGATACTGAAACACTCCTCCAAATTATGATTTTAAAGTTTTCTTTGTAAAATCTATTACAGATATTTTAGCAAATAATGTACACACAATTTATTTGTTGATCACTTTAGGTTGGTAAATATTTTGATGAGTATTCTTGATCACAGCTAACCTTTATAAAGATACATTATTCAAGAGCATTTGCCTATTGCAGGTCTTTCATTTTAGGCCTTAAATGTCATAAATTATTAATTAGACCTTTATTAACATAAGACCATAATCAACTCCTGATGCCCTCGGATGGCTCCGAGTACAGTGGTTACGATCCATGTATGCATCTTGTCAAAGCTACAACCATTGATAATTTCACCCAGAATAAAGTAGTTTAAATAAACTTTTCAATATATTCATTTTGCATTATCTATTTTTGAACTATTATAGCAAGAACAACCAACTCTTTATCTAAATCTTACATAATGCGTCTTTAAGGAAACAAATTCAGTTTTGTACACATGTGTGCACATGTAAATAACTCACCATTGAATGATGTGTCATAAATCTTATCCCAACATTCTCATGAGAGAATTTTGTAAATTAGTTTAACCCATTTTACTAGATATAATATATTCATGTACCTCCATACATTGTTTGTCATACTCACTCTTCAGCATATTTGAGAAATTGACCAAAATCGGTTTAAAAGGTCACCATTTTGTATTCAGTGACTGAAATTGCTCCATGATCTTTAAGAGGTTAAATTGTGGCAAAAATTTTTCAATAAATGGTTTATTTAATTTTTTTTAAACTAACCATTTAGCTTTCAACTTTTGTGACATTTTGTTATTGTGTGAAAAAAAAATCTGATTAGGCCAGGTTATGGCATAATGTCACAATTTTCAGTCAGACTGCTTTTAAGATTGGTCCTACATGTAGTACTTTTGTTTGTTCTAGAACAATTTTTTTTATTATTATCCACACATATCTGTAAATTTAAATATAGTATATATAACTTTTGAAGTATTGAAAACATTTTTGTTTAAAATTATTATAATTTATAATGGGGTTAATACTTTTCAAGGGGCTACCGTTAGTGTTATTGATTTGGAGTGGTTAATGTGAAGAAACAAAGACTGAATTTGACATAGTTTATTGTGGTATTAAATAGAAATATAACACTAAATAATGAATGCTGACTGTGTACATGTATCTATTGTATTAAAGCATGGTATCTGCATTTTATCAATATTCAATGTGCAGATGATGACAACTTTCCACAAAGAATTTAACATATAAAATCAATGGTACGGGTTAATGGAACTTTTTTTCTGTTCATTGCACCATTGTATTCCTATTTGTCTCAATTTTTTCCATCATGAGCTGTGACACAAGGATAAAGTTGTCATGTTGGGCACCATATGTGGTGGGTGTACAGCTTGCTTGGCATATTAAAACATTTTCTGGGTCTGACAAGCTGTTAGTAAAGTAGTATCGATATTAACATAAATTATTAATATTTTGATACATTTACACCACCATTGATCAAATAAAATGAACTTTTCATCTTAATTTACAACATAATAATAGCTAAGTAGTTGCAAGTTGACTGACATATTTTCCAACCTTATGAACGATATCTATATTAAATACTTATGACATACGTCCATCTGTGGCCAACCGCCTTATCTAATTTTTGACCGCTGTGCCATGTGTCGATAAGTTCTGTTGCTAGCATAGTAAGTTGTTCTCAATGGAATTGCATCTTGTCAAGATAAAGTCAATAGTCATTAAAGTTGAATAAATTATAGAAATGCTTGCTGCGTTTATGATCTGTGTTTATTGTGTTTGTGTGAGAATCGTTGTTAGAAATTTGGACATCAAACAATAACTTAACGCCTCTGATCAATAATTCTAATCTGATAATGATGTTCAATAAGTTCAGTGAATCATAAAATGACTGAATTGTTATATCAGATATTTAGTCACAGATTAAAGACATTACGTAATGATTTTCTTTCATAGTAGTTGATTTCATAAATTTGATGATCTTTGCAATAGACCACTGAGGTTAAAAGAAAGGGAAATTTAATTGAGTTGAATAAAATACTTAACAGTTTCAACTATTTTTTGTTGAGAAAAAGCAAATTCTGTACAGTAGCATAGTTAACAATGGAAGTTCAGTGTGATACACAACTAATACACATAATATGATACTTGATCAAAGGATGGACTAACAAGGAGTGTATTAGCACCTGTTATCAATAGATAATTATAGATACATTATGTAAGATTTAGATACGAGCTGACCATTCTTTCTATAATAGTTCAAAAATAGATATTGCAAAATGAATATATTGAAAATTTCATTCAAACTACTTTATTCTGAGCCTCAGTTATCACTGTAGTTTTGATAAGATGTGTGCATTGATTGTTTATTATCATAACCACTGAACTGGTATATCCCAGACTTAGCCTCACTTCTCCATTTTTAAATTGAATCATTATATGGCCGAACCGTTCTAATATACTTAAAATGGGAGCCATCCAATAGCATTGAGAGTTGATTATGTTCTTGTCATGTTAATAATTTATGTAACATTTAAGGCCTAAATAAAGACCTGCAATAGGCAGATTTACATGTAGCTCTTGAATAATATGTCTTTAATTTATTGCTTTGATCCACATCTAATCATCTTTAACCTGTATTTTGTTTTGTTTTTGCATTATTTCACATTTCACCCAACATAACTGAAAA